ACAGTGTGTTCCTGGCAGGTGACTCGGCCAAGACCGGCTCCTGTGACATTCAACCCCGTAAGGAAAAGCACGGCAACCTGCACTAATCTTAAACTGATCGTATCTAGAAGTTCTTGCATCTATGAACAATCAAAAGCACCATGTACTCAGGATGCACCCACCAGACGCGCGCACAAGTGAGCGTAGCGGCGATGACGACGAATAGCGAAGCCAAAACAGATCGCAGTTATCAGGCACAGAGGTTGAGAGAGAGTTTCGATGTGCATTGGCTGACCATTCGTTGACGAGAAATGCTGATTAAAACATGTTCGTGATTGCAGCCACGGCGAGACAGCGCCGGTTGGCGGATCCGAGTAGCTAAATACATTGATATTAGTTAATACTAACATTGAAAATTAAAAGTGGAATAATTAGTAATAATGACATTAATACTCCTACGAGTTCTAATATCATACCCGCACTAAGATTGGTACTTGTACTAATACGAAACTAACACTAATACTACGATTATTATCCCTACGACGATTCATTCTCAGATTTGTATTGATATTCATACACGTCTGCAAATTTGTACCAATCATGATACGATTATTGATATTAACTTGAATACTAATACTCCTACGAACACTACTACTCGTGGTAACAGTGATACTAGAACTATTACTCATATCAATATGAATGCTACTACTACTAATACAAATACGAAACTCAAGAGTAACACAACACTCCTACAAAAATTTCTGCGAATACGAATCATCATATTGGTATTAATATTAATTCATATCTATACTAATGCCAATATTTATACAAATACCAATATGAATATAAGTATTAATGCTCCTACGAATGATAAGACACCTACTCTCATGGCTGTTAATGACATACTGTTACCAATACTATTACAGACATTGATAATTTTTGGAATACTCACGTTAATACTTGTACGAATACGATAATTAACACGTATATTAAGGCTGATACAATTTGACAATAGAAATACTGATATTAACATTAAAACTCCTACGAATACCAATAATCATATTCATGTTGATATTAATGTATAGTAATACCAATACTAATACATACATATACTAATGTATATAAACATGCATACCGATATATTAAAATGCAGATACATTAACGCCTTCATGCACCAGCATAACTTTTCACATACGCTTATACCAGCATGCTAATGTATTGTTATGATAATATATGAATATACTAATATGCTAATGTACTGGTATACCGTTACTGTAACATACAAGTATACTGGCATATTAATAAGTATACTACTATACCAACATATTGATATACTTATACAATATTAAGGTGATATACGAATGTAGTCGTATACACAAGTACCAAAAACCAATATATTAATATGTTAATATAGTGATACATTAATATGTTAATATTTTCATATGTTAATATATTAATATGTTAATATGTTAGTATTTTAATATACTAATATATGAATGTGTTAATATATTAGTATACGAATATACAAATACACTAATATACCAATATATTGATGTACTCAATATATTAGTATACTAGTACATAAGTATGCAAATATATTGCTATAAAAACATAGTCATTTTTAGTGTATTGATATGTTAATCTGTTCATAACCTTTCAGTATACTAACATATGAACACTAGTTCCAACATTAATACTAATACTTGTACTTGTGCTTCTGCGAGTATTAGAACTAACAGCATTAAGACTGATACTAGTACACATAGTAGTGATAATACTAACACTGACATTGACACTCGCATTAACACTAACACTAGTTTATACTTACTACTGTCAACTTGCCCAAATAAGGGGTCGAGTGCAGCAATTAAGCCTTACCCTCGGGAATAAGGCCAAAAGCTGTTTCAAAACACCGGGATCAGAATCCTAATGGACAAGACAGGCCTTACGGGAAATTGAATTGTTTTGCAACTGCGCCGCGGTTTCAGATTTGCGTGGCTTTGCAAGTAAAAAACATGGTGAATCAAACTGGTTTTAAGTGAGGAGTTTAAGGTCTGGGGTCAATCAGGATTTTAGTGTCTCTAGGGGGTTTAGATCTTGGGAAAGGGGTGGGCCCCGCCAGCGGTAGCTCTCGCCGGCTTGTATTTTGCAATGGGATGGGCCCTGTCTGCGCTTGATTGCCGACCACAAAACTCAATTACTGACACCCCATCGGTAATTAAGCCGCTGCCGCGCTTCCGCAAAACCTTCATTACCGACCCCAAAGCTTAATCACTGAGCCCCCCCTCGGTAATTAAGCCGCTGCCGCACTTCCGCAAAACCGTAAAAACCGACCCTAAAGCTTAATTACTGACCACCCCTGGGTAATTAAGCCGCTGCTGGGCTTCCACAATATCTTAATTACCGACCCAATAAGGTTTGGGCGAGTGGGAAAGGTTCAGGTGCAGTGGATTAGGGGTAAGCCCAAAGGGCATCGTCGCCGCCCGGGATAAGGATTCTTTCTTGCACCGACAGCGATATTTACAAAGCCAGAGGCTCCCCCCTCTTCTAAGCAGTGGAACCGGCTTTGGTCTCAGCCGTAACTGCCCCGCCCCACCTGCCCCCATTTAAATTGTTTAAATAAAGCGGGAACCCGAAATAATTTAAATTATTTAAATCAGGGGTGGGGGGGCTTCTCTCCCAATTATTTAAATTATTTTCGGGTCCCGCCGTATTTAAATAAATTAAATCGGTTGGCTTGAATTATTTAAATTATTTAAATTAATAAAGCATAAGGGCAGAATAGGAAAGCGTGAAATAGACCCTAAAGGTGTCTCTCTCTCATATATATATACACAATATTTAAGCCGCAGAGGTAGCTGGTTCGAGCCCAGAATCTCAAGGCTGAATGTCTGCGAGGCTCTTCAGCGGAGCGACTCACATACATGATCTTCACATCTTGGATTCAGCATCCGCTGCCGGTCAAGGGTGATTGTAATGGAACCGACCAGGCTTCATTGCTTCATGTGCTATGCAACCGTTCAGGGTTCAATGCAGCAGGCACTCCTACCACGGACGGTACGATGCACGAAAACCCGTCTAGATACACAATTGTTCAATCGTCGTGCTGACTTGACTGCTCAATATCCGAAAAAACTACTCTCAGACATGAAGATATACAGCCACATGTGGAATCGGCTTACAAGCTGTGAATATGTGGCCACCAGCCCCACCAGCTGTGGACTACGCCATCCAGGTGCGCGAACATGCGACAAAGAAGGCATGCTTGCGCCATAATACACCCCTTTTTGGGGCCCTGGGGGTCTTCATTGGCAAGAGACCCCCAAGCAGAACTCCTGCCACCTGCCTGCAAACAAAACATGCGAAACAAAACCCGAAGTAACAGGGTTCCCCACGCACACGCACACACACACACACACACAAAAAAAAAAAAAAACAATTGACATGTCGGCCAGCCTTGGAAGACCATGCCATATGCTTCAGCTTTTTGCGAGGAGAGATGACGAGAGGAAGGCCTGGACTCAGGAAACTTTCAGATGCTTGGGTGGCCAAACTCTCGGCATGTTGCAAGCCTGTTGAAGTCTTATCCGGGCAAGCACTGGCATGCAGATGAGTCCACGTACATAATGCCGGCAAAGGACGCCCGGGGTCTGGGTTTCCCCGTGGCTGAGACCAAGCAGCCAAAAGCGCCGGGTGTGCAGGCACCAATAGAAAACACAACAACTGCGCAATGCACAGCCATGAGTGCAAATGCACAGCGGCTTGAAGTGGCACTGTTGTTTTTGGCTCCACAACCGTCACCCACTCCGACGCGCGATGACGTAGTTGGTATAGGGTGAGGGTTCCGCACTCCTTTGTCAGGCACATACAAGCAAAACACATCAAAACACTGGCAAGAACGCATGAGTTGTACAAAGAACTCCCATCCCTCTGCCATTGTCTGCCGCTGAGACACCAGTCGTCTGGAGGTGGTATGTTGATTTCCTGGCCATTCGTGTTGACATGCCGCCGAAAGAAGCACCCGAAATCCCACCAGCTTAGACCGGCCGCACTTGCTAGTGGCCTCAAAGCCAGCGAGCTTCAGCAGTTTCACTTGCGCCATTGTGTCTCGAGGATCTGTTGCCTGAAACTGTCCAGAACAAACAAGAAAGAATCTGACCAGTGGGCGATCACTGAGTGCGGGACAAGAAGGACGCGTCTGGTGAATGCCAGTGTGCTGGCAGCGCTCCTGGAAAGAAAGTCACATCTGGGGAACCATGCCTGAAACATCCACGTTGTTCAAAACCTCCCTGTCCGCAACAAGTCCACCGAAGAGAAGGACAACTTCAGAATGTCGATTTCACGGAAGCCAAGACGGCTTACTTCTTCATCGACAGATCGGGCGAGAGGATCATTCTTGGCATTCACACCCTGAGCCTGGCGGAAAGCAAGCACTCAAGCAAAATGCGCAGCATCAACAGTTGAACAAACTTTGGATGTGTTGCAAACCCTGTGGCTGTGCATGAATCTGCAGCACCTCTCTGAACCAACATCTGCGGTCGTTGGAAAGATGCACGTTGTTCTCCTCACTTCTTCGGGATCCACGACTCAACCCATTATAACCCTTTTGTAAGGCTTCTACTATGTTGTCATCGGTCTGCATGTCGTTATGGTCTCTGCAGTGCCACTCCACCGACTGGGGTGAGGTAGTGATGCGCCGCTGTAGGACTTGCACCTGCATAGCAAAGGCCTTCTTTGGGCTTTGACATGCTTAGAAACGCGTCCGTGGCCTGCCCCTCGAAGCCGTTCAACTTGATGGAGCGCCTTCCAGCCGTGACCGCCAAGTCATCTGCCTTCAAAGTTCGCATGACAACGATGGAGGCTCGACAAAACGCCGTCGGCCTCGAGGCAGGCTGCGGTGAGGCGCCCACTCAGGCGATGACCAGCCCAAAGCAGGCAGTCAGGCAGCCAGCAGGCCACCTCTTCTCTGAGCCGAGAACCAGGTTTCGGCAAGCAGAATCTCTGAGTGCCGAGTGCCTCCACAACTCTCATTCGTGCTGAAGGCTTCCGGCCTGACACGTGAAAGCATCCAGCATTATTCTTCGACCACCAACCATCTTCTCCATGGATTCCAGCTGAAGCTCACCAAAAAGTCGCCAAATTATGTCGAAGATATCTCACAAGCATGCTCTTCTTCTTTGTGCCATGTCCTCGTTCGCGCTGTCCTCTGCAGCTTCATGTCGCGTGCGATGCAATGTCTTGGTGTCGTGTCCTTATGCGATGACCTGTATGGCCCGAACGTGCCGTTCCACCCGGTACTCTACACTAGGTAAACACGGAAACTTGAGAGCAGAGCAGAGCGGGCGAAAGCTAGCGGCACGGAGGGGGCAGTAGTGCATTACAAATGTGAGCTGATGCTGGTAAGCGAATGTGAATCATAGAATGCTCCCTGTATGCTGTGTGTTGATGCTAGGGGCTAACCAACTCCCCCTCTTGCATGAAGCCTGCTGGTGCACACTGAACTTTATTCTTCTCGCCGATCCTTTGCGTGTTGCTTGGGGGAAGTGGTAAGGAATTCAAATCGAGCTTCCGGGTCTAGTCATCAGTGAACTGCGTGGCTGCAAGGAATACAAGACTGCAGTATTCGTTAATTGAGGCTCCTTACTACGAATGATCTGTACCAGACTTTCAGGAAGACTCCAATAGCTCCACTGCTTCACCCGAATTCACCTGGTGTCCTTCACCGCAGCCTTCCTCTTCCTCTCCATACTTGTACTTCGCTTGCCCACCCGTTTTGCATCCAGAAACATGCGGCACGCTGCCGTGGGCCTTCCTGTTGCAGCCAGAACTCCACTTCCGCAAAAAAGTCCGTGGTACAATGGAAGCGGCCAATTTCTCGGTCGTGATCGCTGAGCGGCTCCCTGCGTCCGAGGGCATGGAACTTGAAGAGCGAAGAGCAAGCGACCGAGCCTGTATGGGAGCACCACACTTGGCACGACCTCCATGTCAGCTCAGGGGCACATGACATAGAAGTAGGAATATGCCGTAGGAGCAACGTAGCAAATGCAGAGTTTTGTTACATCGTGCCTGTGGTGATGGCAGAAAGCGCACGAGTTGGTTGGAGTGCAGCTGGCGACCCATTGCTTGAAGTTCAGCTAGATCCGGTACTTCCAAGTCTGCCAACAGCTGGATGACAGGCCAATCACGTAAACCCTTGACCATTTCGTGCAGCATCACACTGGATGACCAAGCAGACAAGAGATGTGTGGCGAGCTGTACCAATTCCGAAACCTCTGCGTAGATTTCACTTGAAGAAAGGATCTCACCGGAGCGAAGGCGGATCTCCTGGGCTGCAGTCGGGAACAGTGCACTGCAGAAACGTGTGAACTCGAGCCGGTTCCCTCACCCTCAAAACCCAACCAGCCTGCGACGACACCAAAAGGCTCACTGCACGCTGAAGTTGACTGTTGTGATCCCGACCGACATTTGCGAGCTGCACCAGGGAGGCTGACAAAGGCAAGGGTCTTCGTGTTCGGATGGCTTTCCAGAGGGCCGATTGCAGTGGCGACCAATGACTGAGCTCAGTGAAGTCATCCCAAATCACCGGGGACAAATCGCTTGGTGCGGTTGCCCTCCGTTTCTGTGCCTTTCGACGGCCGGCAAAGGCGAACAACCCGAATAGACCAAGATGCGAAGACAAGGTGTCCAGAAGTGCACTGGAGGTCAAGATCTCCCTCGCCAAGGCTGCCAGCTGTTGCTCGCCAGCTTTCCGGGTACCCTCTGTGTCTGCAATGGCTGAAACGTTCAGCAGCCGAATTGACCAGCCCGTAGCTGGGCAGGCGGCAAGAGGAAACCATGAAGATGCCTGTGTTAGCAAGTCGTCGCGTGCTCTGTGGAAGAACTTTGCCCTTCGCGTGGTCAGTCGACGCAACTGGTAGCCTCAGGCAGAGCCCATCTCAGCAAGACGTCAATGCTGGCACGGATCGTAAGCCTGCTGTATTTGACAATGAAACCACAAACAGACCATGCATACCTGTCGCATTGCAAGGACTATGCAGTCATGTGCAAGAAGCTACTTTGACCATTCTTTCTGCTTCGTTTTTGGGCCCGTTTCGTGGTATTGGCACCTACAAAGTTTTATAGCTTCGTTTTTGTGACTTTGACTGCCGACATCCTGTAGGCAGGTCTTTGTAGGTGCAGTGTTGACTTGAGGTGTCAAATCCCTACCTTCGTCACCCAAACTCCATCTGCGGCATGCACCACTCTGCCCAGGCCATCTCCCATGCAAGCTTTCAGTGGTTTCGCCGGGCACCTGTCAAATACGAGCACGTGGAACACAAATGACAGTCCGACCGAAATGGATCAAGCCGGTCAGGCCTGAACGAAGCCCCCAGCCGCAACTTCGACCAGCGTCAAAGCCACAAGCAAAAGAGCCATATAATATAGCATCATACAGCCCCGACATCTGGAGGCGCGGCATTGTAGATCATTGTAGACATGCTCTGGGAGAATTTTGACGACTGCTTGGAACCGGTGTGGACGGGCAGCTGCGTCAGCTAACATGAAGTCGGAAAAAGCACACCGCATCTGCTTACAAACACGGCCGAGAACTTTTCTGGATGCTCTCGTAGTGTACTGCGCCAGTATAACTGAATTAGCTCTACAGGGCAATGCCGCGACTCAGACGCTGAAACTGGACGTCTCGCGACAGGTCTCGCTGACCCAATTGGCTTTACAGCCTTGCGACAAGTTCAGGGCATCTTTCGGACCTGAGGGGCGGTCCGGGGGCAGTCTGCTGCGGCTGCGACGAATGCCAGCACCACAGCCAGCAAAAATGACAAGTTGAGTCAGAGATAGCCAGGGTGCAGATGAGTGCAGTCAGGCCACGTCACCGCTTTGGCCGCAAAACCGACAAAGTTTCGCCTCACCCAGCAGCTCGTGGTTGCAGTTCGGGCAGCATAGGACCTCCGGGCGCCAGAGAACGCCAGCTTCAGCTCTGCGGATCTCTACAGTCAAGAAGCTGCTACTCTGCCGAAGAAGCTGAAGATACCGTATTGCCCCGGTGAGGCTCGGCTCCGCAAAGATTCAATTTAATCGAATCTCACAAGCAGCTTGCAATATTTTCGGCGGCTCCGTGCATAGGTGCCCCCGGTCAGCTCTCGTCGGGGATCAAAGTGCCGTGGCTTAATCACGGAGGCAGATCCAGAGGTCGCACTGCGAAGCTCGGGATGTGTTCTAGTTGTTCTAGATTCTACAGGCGCTTGCATGCGCTTGCGGAACTCAGCGGCCGAGTCTCAGATGGTAGTCTTGGCATGCCCGGAAGGCTGGCGCTACCAGGTCCTGGCCCTAGGTGCGACTGCCGAGTCTGAAGGCGCCAGCCACCCTGGCACAAAAGTCTGATTTTCGAGTTCACCGGCAGACTGCTGTACATGCTGCCTGGACCAGACAGAGCTCTGCGATGTCGAGGCAGGCAACCTCTTTGCAGCTTGCTCTGATTCTGATCGCCAAGGCACACGCGGGGCGCGCACAGAGAGAGAGAGAGAGAGAGAGAGAGAGAGAGAGAGAGAGAGAGAGACAGGCAGGCAGGCAGGCAGAGATACACACACACACACATGTGCGGCTTGAATCTTGAGTGGATGGACCCTCCAAAATTCTCCCAACTCACAGGATGCCCCAAAGCCTTCACAACTCTGCACAATGCACCCGGCTGAATCCTTTTGGACTGAAGTGACGACTTCGAGACCTGGACTCTGGACAAACGGCTAGCAAGCCGTGCCTCGCGGAGGAACCAGCGGAGATCACCTCAACAAACCAAACTGGAGACCGCTTCCTTTGCAAGCCCTTTCCATTCCTGGTATCCAGCGAACTTGAGAGGGCCGCGCTTGTTGAAGGAGACTCCGTTTTACAGAATGGTTTGCCACGCCTGTACTTCGGTTGAGCTGATGTCGTGATATGTCGTGAACACATAGCTCCATACTCTTCTTGTGCCTGCAGATCGCTGCCGCTGTGCTGCAGCCTGGATGCAAGTAAAATCCACGAACCCGGGATCCCGGGATCCCGAAGTCTGTTAAACACGCCTCTGCGTGGTGCCTTTCCGCTTCACGCTTTGCTTTGCGCACCTGGCGACAAAATGTTTCCCCAGCTGCAGTCATCGTGCTTGACTTCAGATGCTTGCAGACTCCATGAACCTCCTCGACAGTGTCAAAAGGGACCATCTGCGCAGAAGCCGGGCAATTCAGATTGTAGTCCCGAACTCGTTTGTTCAATTTCGCAATCTCCTGTCGAAACCGATCCTGAGCTGCATCCGACGTCGGCATAGCAAAGCATCTTGACAATGTGCACACCGCTGCTCCCTCTGCTCCCTCCCGCGCGCCTTTTGCGTGACGAAGGCCGCGGTTGGCTCAAACTTGGACGCCGTCCAGGCCTCTGACAAGGTCCTGCATGCTTAGCCCGGAACCGCTCCATGTCATCTATGACGCCTCGCCTCGCAAAGTGCTGCGCATCACGGTGGATGCGCTTCTGCTGCTCAATCCATTCCTTTTGTTGTAGCGGGGCTCACCAATTTTCACTGCAAAGCTGCAGCACTGAAACAATCTGCACCAAGTCTCCGGTGCATATCCGTGCTTCTGCAGTAGGCCATAGCCGATGCGATCAGCAGGATCCTGTATACTGATGCACGCTGGAGACCACACCACGTTCGAACCAGTTCTGTATCACCCTCTGTCCAGGTATGGGTTCTCAGCACCGAGGAGGCTTTTGAGAGGCTTTCCTTCGCCTCAAGTAGCGCCGAGAGTGCTACACACTGCTCTAAAGGAAAGTGATGCGCGTAGAGAAGTTCGAAAAGCACTGTGCAGGTTGTGGCCTTCTAAATTGTCGAACTCGCCGTTGGCAACTGCAATACTTATGGCCTCTTCGACGTCCTGCTCAATTTCTTCCAGGTCACCTTCAGCAGGGGTCAGTGCTGCTAAGGCTGCAGGTGGCCCACATGCACTCAATAAGGCTGTCGTGCGAGTGGCGATCATCTGTGGCCGGCCTGGGTTCAGCACAGAGCCCAAATAACCCTGTAGACACGCAGGAGTCAGAAACACTGTAGTGATTGTAGAAGCGGCTCGCGTTGGCCGGCACGGTATTCAGCAGCTGCCACAACACTGTTCTGCAAGCGATTCCTGGCGACTCAGGATATGCTGTCATCCTGAAGTCGAATGGCCCCCCCCCCCTTGCCCAATCCTTGCGGCACTCCTCTCTCGCTGGAAGACCGTTTGACCATCAGCTCCATCTGTAGCTAAAAACTGTCGCTCTGCAATATTCGAACGCTTCACCTGCGCTCAAACACACAGATGCTGTGATTGCACGTGTGAACATAAACCTCTGCTTCGTCCAGCTTGCCTGCTTGGTCGGATCCTGGCCAGGCGGCAGGCGCAATAACTCGTGGGCTGTCCCTCCTGGACTCAAACTTCCATGGCCTCGGCATCTAGGCTCGCTTTCCAGGCTGCACTTTGACGGCTCTTCCGGTTGAGGTCGGTCCGGCCAGCTTGCTTTATCCTCCTTCCGACCTCAGAACCACGCAAACATACGGCAACCATGCCAGATGCCATCAGCTAGGATCCACGCACGAACTCTGCGACATGCAGGACTCACTGCAAAGCAGAGCGGCTCCATGCTGCATCATTTGCAACGTCCCAACTCGCATGCCGGCCAGGTCTTCATCACCCTGCCGTCGTTAAGGACTTTACAAAGCGCACTTCGTTTAAGGGAGATGGAGCGCGGCGAAATGCAACTATTCTGGAGGCTTTCGTACAAACTCTCGCAGACCGAAACCCGAAACAACCCGAAACCATGTTGACGTCCTCTCAGCTGGGCATTTTGGCGGCTGCAAAAAGAATTGATACTCGCTGAATCTTTCAGGGCGAACTTGCTTGCACGTAAAGGTTGAAACTACCCTGACCGTTGTCCCGTCGAATCGAAACTCAGCACCGAAACGGACATCGAAAACCCTGAAACTCACACCTTCCCAAGCGGACCTCTGGACAGGCTCCGGCTGTTGCGGAGCTGCCGTCGTGTCGCCTCAGACTGACGCTGCTACAGCAGGAATGCACGATTTGCATTGTGTCCTGCATTTCATTTTTCATGAGCTGCTTGAACATTGCAGCCTTGCGGGAGTGCTAACGGTGACAAAAAAGTACGAAACTATGCAATCTTCCAGTCGACCAAGAAGAGCGCCACCGCCACCGCCGCCATCGACAACAACCACAATAGCAACAGCAACAGCAACAGCAACGACAACGACAACAACCACAACCACAACAAAGTCAACAAGAAGTTAGCGGGTGCATTTGCAGCGAATGACGCATGTTTGAGGAAGTGTCGCAACCACCGCGCGATTTTCGTCGTTTCTGTTGTTGGAATGTGGGGTTCGTTGTTTTGTGGAGGGCCCACGGGGCTCGAGACTCTTGTCGTGAGAACGTGTCAGGGACAACCCATAACTTGTGTGATTTCGATCATATTCACGATTGATGTTCGGTTTCTTGAAAAGAACAGCAGCAACATGTATCATCATCATCATAATCATCATCATCACCGTCAACGCCAGCATCATCACCAGCTTCTCCGTCATCCTTATCATCATGTTCATCACCCTCGATCACTCTCGTCATCATCATTTCATCAGCATCATCATCACGGTCATCCTGATCATCTTCATCGTTTCATCGCTATCATCTGCACAGCAAATATCACATCATCCGCAGCTGCTTCATTTCATCGCCATCGTCAACACAGGAAGTAAGCACATATAAAATACCAATTCACAAAAAGACGCGACCGCAGCAAGAAGGTTACAAAATGTTACAAATCTCAAAAATTGTGATGACTGTCATGGACGTCATCACCGCCCCCCCATCCCGCCCCACCCCTACACGGAAGCAAAGTGAAAAACACTACATGCATAACTTGCATTGCCATGGACGTCAACCTGCATACATAATTCGCATTCTCATGGACGTCCTCACCCCCCCCCCCCGCCCCTGCACAGAACACGGCATTTACATAGTTTACCCGCATCGCCATGGGCTTCATCAGCCCCACCCCTGCACAGAAGCAAAGAGAAAAATACTACGTCCATAATCTGCAACGCCATGGACATCATACACCAAACGAAAAACACTGCATACATAATTTAATCCGCATTGCCATGGATGCCATCCCCTAAAGCGAACAACACCACTAATCCGCATTGCCATTGACGTCATTCTTCAAAACGAAAAACACTGAATACATAATCCGCATTGCCGTGGACGTCATCACCGAAAACGCAAAACACTGCATACATAATCCACATTGCCGCAGACGTCATCGGGGGTGCTGTTCCGCCGCGAAGGGTGTGTGTCGTTCCCTTGTTCTCTTTTTTTTTGACAGTTGTGAAAACCTCGAGTTGTTTGTGGTTTTCATAAATTAGACGCCTTTTTGCCCCTTCGTGTCTTCATGTTGTTGTTTTTCAGTGTGCGTTTGCGAAAACGTCGTAAATACCGTGGCTTTCGTCGAGTCCTTGCTTCCGTTTCGGGTCCATTTTTAAAGTTTTTGTTTGGAGATCATCATACTCACCGAAATCATCCTCATCAGCATCATCACCAACATCGGCATCATGCTAAAAATCATCCGCAGCAGCAGCATCTTCAGCATTTCATCGTCCTCATCGGCACAGCAAACATCATGGCAGCATCATCACCAACAACGTCATCATCCCCCAAATCATCCACAACAGCAGCAGCATCTTGAGAATTTCGTCGTCATCATCGGCATAGCAAACATATGCAAACATCATGGCATACCACGACATCTGCAACTTCATCATCTCACCGTCATCAAACTGAGGCAGCCGGCGCAAGAAGGTTTTGCAAATTCAAAACTACGAAGACTGTGCACACCCCCTCCACACCTCTGCACGGAAGCATTAAAAAGGAAAACATTAGATGTAAGCCGCATTGGCGTGGATGCTATCATCCCACCCCCATCCCCTCCCCACCCCGGCACGGAAGCAAGCAAAAAAAATACTGCATGGAAGCCGCATTGGCATGGACGTTATCA